AGCGGGTTTGACTCCCGCCCTAACCCTGGATGTATCATCGTGCTGTTCTTCTTTAAATTTTACTATCTGTCTTTCTACCTGACAAAGGCTTCTAAGCCCTACTTATGTAATTGAGCACACAAGCCAGCATGTATATGTACCAATAAATAAATAAAATAAAGAAACCAAGACGTGGGATAGTTGGTATGGTTGATTAATTTTGCCAACTGCTTATTTTTAAACCTGTGCTGATTTGTTTTAGCAATTGTAAATTCTGTAATTCATTCGTCGCTCACACCTGAGACAATCAAGAAACACGTAGCTTTGATTGCTAGTCAAAATACGATCACTAGTCTAGGAGTACCACAGTAAAAGCTGTTGTTCAAAGGAAAAAAACGAATAAGTGGCATTGATTATCTCAGTGCTCATCGGTATAAAACAATAACCTCGGTTCGTATATAAAATGCAGTCTTTATTCAATTAACTTTTTGTATGCTACTTGCTGTAAACGCAGAATACATTCCGGGCATGAACTTTTCTGTCGAGGACCACAAATTTAGTAGTTTTGCAACCATCTTAGCTAGTTGCTTCCTGCATTGTCAACTATCTTCAGAGTACTGATCCCATGTAAATACAAAGAATAGTGTAGACTCTTTATTTTGGTTTCTTTGTCAATGTTACACTAGAGCTAAACTAATGGGTTGTTTACAACGTTCTTGGATTCACCCTTGATGATTATCTATATAAAAAAAATACAAATGTAGGCGAGCACTACACTCTCAAAATCTAGATCGGAAGTTAGATAGTGGTTCAGTGGTCACCACCACTCAACCACCGAGACATAACAATAAATTCTAAACCACCAAGACACGATTGCAGAAATTACAGCTCAATCAAATGTTCAGCCTTAAGCACAAAGAATCAAATACCAGCTCAAGCCGTGGTATAAATCCACCACACCGACTTGACAGCTGTTTACATTGAAAACGGTCTTAACAAAAAAATTTTTGCATGATTTATATACATATAGTTAGTGAGGTGGGTATTTTATTTACGTCGCACTAGAGCTGCACAATAGGCTATTGGCGACGGCCTGGGAAACATCCTTGAGGATGATCAGAAAACGCACCATCGCAATTTTGAACATCTGCAGAGGAGATGGATCAGAATTGCGGCTCCCCTGCTTTGGTAGCCCGACGACCTGCGCGCGAAGTCGAGCACTTTACAGTAGAACAGTTTAACAAGGACCCTCAGTCCCTATGCAGGCTGATCAAAGTGGTCACCCACCCTCTTACTGACCACAGTCAGTGATGCTTTACATCAGTGTTCTACTGGGAACCGTGTCTTTACGATCAGTCCACTGCAGGTCGTATAGTTAGTGAGACTAGGTCTATTGTATTTTTTATTTTTGTCGTATGCCTGTTTAGGCAGTGGGGATGCGTTTGTTCCTGTTTTTCAGAGGCGCCATCTATGGCCAGGAATTCGACTTCTGTCACGCCATTCACACACATAGTAGAAAGGACATAGAACACACAGAGAGAGAAAGAAACATCCATGCCTTTGCCCGGGATTGGAACCCAGGATCTTTCTGATGCAAGAACAGTTCCCTGCCCCCTACACAGACCGGTCGGCGACTACTGTATTGAAAATACCAAATAATCGTTTTAATAAAAATGGAATTATTTTTTATCTTTAGCACAAAGTGTAAGTATTTAAGACTAATGAAAATATGATAAAAGGAAACGATATTTATTTACAACTTACAATAGCATTTTACCAAAACAAATATATTTTATATAAGTCACATAGTTATAATCCACTTTCATAAAATGTAGCTATACACGAAAATAAAATGAAGACATAATACAATTCTACATAGATTTAGTTACAATAAAAACTATCCCTCACATGACATATACTCCAACATAATTATGCTACAACTAATTAGCAGTTAAAAAGTTTCAAATTCAAAAAAAAATAAGGTGTTATTATATTAAAAAATATAAAATTATTTCTTCATCAGTACTTACTAGACGCTTTATAAATTTTTTTAAAATAATAAGATATTCATAAAAATTATAGTTTTTTTGACATAATTAGTAGTTTAAAAAACACATAAAATAAATTATTTTATTTTACTCATAAAAAGAAATGCCCACCTTTTCATGAATTAAGATAATTAAACTTTATAATTTTATATAAACGCTTTACCAAAAACTTTATCTCATATGTACATGAGATCGAAAATTACATGTTGTGACATAATATTAAAGAAATCTCTTCTATCACATGTTGTGACATAATATTAAAGAAAAAGTAACAATACCACCAAAACAAAGTATCACTATTGAAACAGAGTATCAATACTGTTAGACACATTTTATCAATGCTAAATGACTGCTTTAGCTCATTGATGTTTATAGTAATACTATTATCAATATTGAACTGTGTTTTAATAAGCCCCATTATCTAGTTTCGGTATTTTTATAATCGATCTTTCGATCTGTGATTGGTGAGTAATTATTTCAACAATTACCTCTTAGATAAATTGAATTTAGCTTATTATAATTTGGATTAGACAGAATTCAAGAATTTAATTAATAGAAGAAATGATAAAGCAACCATATTTCACATAGCAACTATAGAAATGCAAAATAAAACAATAATTTAGAATAGCTGTAATATTTAAGATTCTAGACATTATTTGAAATTTAACCGAGTCTGCGAGTTTTAAAGGTTGCAGTCAACTAGTAGTATCTTGCATGAGGAACTGTTGTTTCTTATGACACTTAGACAAACAAGGCACACCAGCCATTGGTCAGCGAATTATGCTAGGAAGGCGTGCCTTTCATTTGATAAGAGAGCACCCCAAGGGTGAAAGTAGGTCTTAGCTCAAAATCTCCCAGGTAAATGGCAGCATCACTCATTTGTGAAGCCACTTCCACATTTTTGACACAGATCTGAAGAGGAAGGGCATTTTTTCCAGATCTCTGTACCCATGGTACTGCTCAGCAACTGACCACAGGACTTTAGATTCCACAGATTGGCTAAATTGTGTACACTGGCAACTTAACTATAAACAAATATGTCTATATATATTTGAAAGAAAGAAAATAAAAAAGTTAATTGGAGATAAAGCACTTTGAATAATCCTTCAATAACACAGTGTTATGGAATAATAAAAAATTACTAATAAAATTTGCTACAGAGAAACAAGCTCAATCCATTATTAAGGAATAAATCATATTTAAATTGAAATATATGATTTAGGTAGGATTGTGTTCATGACGTCAAACGCCTCTTTTTGACTAAAAAAAAAAGTACCATAAATTTTTTTTTTTCTCAAAATTTTGCTTTTTATGATATGGTACAGCAGACGAATTTTTTGACAAAATCTTCTTTACAATTAGCAATTATGTATAGAATTTTACAATTATTTTAATAAACAATCAAATATAAATTATTAAAAGTTGTGATACTTGATACTGTATTTTGATTGGAGACAAAACTAATAATCAAAACTTTGCACATATAAAATATTAAAAACATGTTTTAAAAATTTATGTTCCATACAAATTTTGCTTTGCTATTGATAACCATTCAACATCTATATTTTTTATATATACATGGATATTTGAATAGATCTTGAAATATTTATCCAAAAATTTACAACTAAAGGTAAACTATTTGAAGAACCTCGGCTATTTTATCTCATTTATAAACTTTGATTTAATTGAAAATTCTCATTAACGCAAATCGCAATTGTATACAAAATGGCATTTTTAATAATCTATGTCATTGTGTCAAAGGATGAGATATCAAGTGATTAGTTTCGCACACTTTTGGATACATAGCTGTGAAAATACATTATATTTTATTAATTATCGTAAGTCATTTTTTTTTTTTTTTTTTTTTTTTTTTTTTTTTTTTTTTTTNGTCAAATACCTTTTATAATTTTTTTTCTAATTTTAATGTTCTAAGATACACTTCACTTTTTATTTTAATATGTAGAAATAAAATTAAAATACTAAGTCACTAAATATTTGGGTTTTTAAAATGACCGTGAAAACAGTAACACGTAAAAAACATTCCAACCCTGTAGGAGTTAAGACAATTTCAATTGTTTAATATACTTTTTTACTATGCAAATATTTTGGATTGAACAAGCTCTCTCACTCAGTATTTATATTTATTTTTTAAAAAATTGTTTAATTATATAGATATAAATGGTATGAGTAGGTTTTTATAACTAAACATCTCCTTTAACCCCTTCCTTCTCGCTCCAATGAAAATGACGGGGTGAGTTTTCGCCCGCTATTTCTCGCTCACGTGATATTGACGGGCTGGAGTGTTCAGTAGTAACGCGTCAATAATAATAAAACTAATTCATTTCTTTTGACCGGAAAACATTTTATTTCCCATTTTACACACCTGATGGTAGTACCAGAATATTTTTAAGGTAATTGTAGATAGTTAGTTTATTTTAAACTAGTTGCAGCACTAATCAAATAAGTAATACAAATACAAAAGCCAAAAAAATAGGCACTTTTATGACCGGTTTTTTTGAAAATTAACCGATTGTTAAGGGGTTAAAAAATAGAAATCTCATAGAAATATAAATAAATTTTTAAAACTTTACAACACCATAGTTCTTAGAATTATTATAACTAAAGAAAATTGAAGGNAAAAAAATAGGCACTTTTATGATCGTTTTTTTATAGAATTAACCGATCGTTAAGGGGTTAAAAAATAGAAATCTCATAGAAATATAAATAAATTTTTAAAACTTTACAACACCATAGTTCTTAGAATTATTATAACTAAAGAAAATTGAAGGATTGGCTGCAAGAAGATAGCTCCAAATTTTATCTTTTCATAAAACTAGAATTTCTATTTTACTTAGTTTTATTTAAATATAAGAAACTTATAATATTGGGAGCTATTGTTCATTTTGAATAATATAGTACAAGAAACCCATAAAAGGCTTTCCTTTGTTTTATTATAAGATATATTCACCTTACTCCTGGTGGTGGTTCTCTCTCTTATCACCAGAAGGCAGCACAAAAAGATGCATTATTAGATGATATAAATGCATTAATTACTGAGATGTGAAGTTTATTTTATGCTTTTTTATTTTAAGTTTTAAAAAAAATTCTTAGAAATGGTTTAAGTTATCGTTAATATGTTATGAAGAAAAAAAATATTGATTAAAAAATGTGAATAAAGATATAATTAGGGTGATGTTAACATATTCCATAACATAAGTTTTTTTTAAAAATAATATACTAGCAGCTTATATAACACGGATTACAGTTTTGCATCCAAAGGATAACTTTTTTTTATTTTTAAATGCAACGAACATATCGTTTCCGTTAAGAACATATCGTTTTCTTGTCAAGAATGAAAATAAAGTGAATTTCATTCCATTGTTTCAACCATATTAAGGAAACAAATGTAGAAGATTAAAAGAGAAAAAGCAACATACTACTATGTCACAGATGAGCAAGACTTACAGTAGAGTTCATTTTTTTTAAAGAATAAATGGTGAATATAACTAGAAAAAGCCAAATTATTTCCTTTTTGCAACAAAAACTCCAATTATCTCACAAGATTTATATCATTCTAGAATATAAGAATACATAAAAAAAATATTTTCATAAAGTAATCATGTGAAATTTCTCCCAGTTTTATTGCTGAGAAAGATCTATACACTTTTCATACATTTATATAAGATTATCCATGAAGATTGTCATTTTCAACAAATAGAATTCATGATACTACTATAGATTTTTACTTAATTTTTTTTCTCTACAAAGAATGAATATAATTTAAACGCTTAAGAAAGGACAGTCAAACTTTTTATGGTACAGTTCGGTAAAAAAATAGAACATTCAGTCAGTCAAGTCATGAAATAAAGCCATTTTTAGTGGGGAGGGGGAATAATTTCTAAACCAAATTTTGATAGAGAAAATATACAAAAAACTCTTATATATGTTAAGGGAAATTTTGTAAGTATATTTATACAATAAAATGTATTGAATGGTAGTGTCTGTTCTTAATGCAGAACATTCATTTAATCTACCATGTCATAATAAGGTGGCGTTTAGGGGAAAAATTTGTTTTCTAAATCACATCCAGAGGTTGCTACATTTTTTAAAACTTATTTTATCAAAATTAGTACTTAACATATTTTTTCCACTGCGCTCTTTAATTATATAAAAACTTACATAAAAAGACTCGCATTTAATGTGCATGGTTATTTCATGAAAAAAAAATTTTGGAATTAATAAGATTATTAACATAAATTATTATTTTTTTTCTTTATTAAGTATATGGTTTACACCAAACGAGTGATTTGACAACAGAGCATGCTTTAAATCCAAAGTAAATAAAGTTTTCCAAATATTTTGATTATTTTAGACAAAATGAATTTAAATAAGGTGAAATACAAAAATTTTATAAATTAATTATATTTTATAAAGATACTCAATAAATTAAAAAAAAACGATGAGCATTTTATGAAATGAGGATAAGAGAAAACATTATAGATGCACACTTTGTCAAACATCAAAATAAAAGTTTGCGAAAAATATAATATACCTAAAGCTAGAGATGCAAAGAGTATTTTAATACAATTGATGGAAAATATCTTATTAGAACATACTTCAAACATAGAACTTCATACAAATCTTATTACTCAGTTAAACTTAAAAAAAAATTAAAAATACACGTGCTGATATCTAGGTTAAATTATAGCTAGTCTTGTATGGTAATCTAGCTTATAAAATACGAAGAAGAAGAAAAAAAAAGTCTGTGTACACATTTTTAATTTTTTGTCATAAATACACACAGTTTTACGAAATACCAGATTTTATTCAGATAAATATGACATGAACACAAAAACTGGTCAAATCTAAGCACATGTATTTTCTTTACTACTGTTTCAAAACAAAATTTTACAACTTCCTTAAGTTTAGAGTTTTTCCTGAGATTTAAAATTTATTTAAAAAAAAAAAAGATGAATTATTTATTTTTATATCGTTCAAAAGAAACTACAATTTTCTGTATAATAAAACTAGCCATGAGCTCTTTTCTTTTATTTAAAGAATTAAAAAAATATTTAATATTGAGAAAAGTTCAAAGCCAAAATTGCACAGTTTTGTAAGCCAAGAATCACTTGAATTATGACATCAAGAGAATTCTAAAATAAGGAACTCAACAATCACATTAAAAGGAGAATGGTGACAGCTTCCGTGTATAAAATTATTTAGAACATAGTTTTTATTAGAAATGAATCAACTTTGCCTCTGAAGGGTTTTGCTCCACTGGACAATAGGGACACTTTAACCTGTAAAAAGAAAATTATTATAAAATATACAATTTTTTAAAAATATAGTGATCTCACTTTAATTTAAATGTAAAATATCAGATAATTTGAGGAGTTGACATTATCACTCTTAAAATTTTATTTTCACACCTAGGTCAAACATTAATTTTCAATTAAAAGTTTTTTTTCCAATTTTATTTGATTAAAAGCCTGATTCAGAGAAGAAGAAAAAAAAACCTTTTTGCTTAACTTAATAAAAAATGTTTGTTAATAAATTTTCTTTCATAATTAATTATTTTACTTTAAATCTTCCCCTTAAAAATTAAACGGAAGATTTTATAAAAATTTTAAACTAAGCCTATTTAAGCAAAAAGATAACAAAGAGAGAATAAGTGGTTCTAAATAGTGTGTATGCACACAAAATGAACAGAGCACAAAATAAATAAAATATGGAACACTTTAACTTTTGATCGAATGCATTCTAAAATTCAAGTACCATATTTTCTAATCAAATTTAGAATTATATTTCATCAAATTTGCAATCATATTTTCCAGATTATCACTATCCTCATATTTTGAGAGTTACGAATCCAAATCCCTCAACAACAAAAAAAGGTACATTTATTCAGAGAAAGTACATTTTAAAATCTGATTATGTATCTTAAAATATCATCAGCAAAGCTGGTAAGGTTTAGGACAGAATGAATTAATCCACAGTTTAAACCATCCTGTCCAAAACCCTTTTACTCAAATTATGTCACAATTTAAAAAAAAATTTGTAAAAAATAAAAAGTTAGTTTTTGAATAACAAACAAAATGAAAGAAAGATTTTTCTTTTATTAAAAAAGTTTATTATTACTTTCAATATTGTAATATTTATCCTTAAGCAAAAAACACAATTTATCAGTATTAAAAGTATATTTATTCATATTTAAAGGTATTCACTTTTGTTGTTCAATGAATTGTGGAGTTTCACAAGTTATAAATCTATTCCTATTACAGTAGAGCTCCGATTATCCAAACTGCTCGGGACCGAACGTGGTTTGGATAATTGGAAAGTTCTTTAAAATCTAGTTTAAATGATCATTATTTATGCACTAACTTCCCTTCACACTTTTTCCAGGTTTAGTACTGGCAGTACTATCTGAAATAGCTCTAGCGTGTTAAAAAAAAAAATTCTTCCAATTTTTAAAAATTTTTGTTTTGTTTATTTACTTATTTCACTTTTTTTTTCATTTTGAATTATTTTTATCATATTTCAGCCTTTTATAATTTTTCTGTCAAATACTGATTTTACCACATTTTTCTTTATTTTTCATTGCAAAAGAAATCCAGCTAAGACTTTTGTTTCAAAGAAGATGCTCTTTTTTGAGCAGCCATATCCCTTATTCTTTCTAAATAAACCAACTGAACTGGATCAACATCATTTTGACTGTCTATCCAATTTATTGCAATATCTAATGAATTGCATGCTTTTACATGAGAAGGTTCACTATCTTAAACTTGATCACCTACTTCTTCCCTTTTGTCTGTAGAGTTTCGAATTTCATTCAAAATTTCAGCATCAGCATTATTTAAAATGTGAAATTCTGGGTCATTTTCAGTGTCTCGACACCGGTCTTCTATTTCTTCTGCTGTATAACCTGGCATCTTTTCATCCAGAAGATCTACTGGTTCAGAAACTTCAGTTTTTGCTTTTCTGTTAAGAATTTTATTCCAAAATTTAAGATTCCAGGCACTGTAATCACTAATCATTAATCATAAGTGACAACTACCCATTCACCAATTATAGAACTTTAGCACTTATCTATTCATAAAATCTTTCCGCATTCCAACCATTGTAGACAGTCAAAATGAAGCTCGCATTTTTGGATGATAATTTTCAGTTGAAGAGGGCTAAAGGGGTATGTAGGTTTAACTGTATAACAATACATGTATGCATGGATACTATAAGAAAACTGCTAAAAAAGGTTGTAAATTAAATATGGTCGTCAGCTGTAGTCGATATTATTTATTCTTCTAAATTTAGAAAAACTGCAGATAAGTTAAAAAGTATTCTAAACATTAAAACAAAAACAAAAAAACAAATTCGGACATAGTTCGGATAATCGGCGCTCTACTGTATATTATATTATTTTCCTTCATAAGTTAAAGCAAATTGTATAAAGAACATCAAATATTTATTAATATATGTAATTACTATGTGTACAATGGTTACACATATAGAATTTTTACCTTTTACCAATGTTCAAGGTTTTGGACACTTAACGACGGTTCAGGACAAAAACCCACGTGTCCTGTCCAAAACTAGTTTAGGACGTCCAAAACCCCAACCTTGATCATCAATACAAATATTTTATTATACTTAAGGTCAGTCATTGGAATCATTAAGAGTACATCTTAGTATGTAAAATACAAAATTTAAATTACAAGTTATTAAGGTGTTAAATTTTTATTCTGTTCATAATAAATATGAAGGGCTTAGAACAATGTAGCGATAATCCAAACTTTATTAACAGGTAACACTTTTTACTTAATTGGATATATTTCAAAATGGGGAAGAGGGGTTAGTGGTGATATGGTGATAGCATGGACATCTTGAATAATTTTTTTATTTATCAGTCTAATTTCCTCAATGAGATATAGGTTAGCAACATTAATGTGCGATTGCATAATCATAATCACACTGAGAATATTTTGAAAGAAATTTGTAAAAGAAAGTTTTTTAAGGTAAAAATTTTCTCGTTATTAAATTATTATATTATTAGAACTTCTGAAAATAAAATATTTGATAATTTATTTTATAAATGATACTGTTTTCTATCTATTTTGATTTTAATTATTGCTTTGTAAAGTTTCAGTTAATTAGCATTATGCATAAACAAACACATGTCCTTGTAGGGTTAGTGTCGACATGTGGTGCGGCAAGTATGGACATGGCCACACTAGTCCCATTCTATTTTTAATGGCAGAAATGTGAATTGATAAGAAATATAACGCATTTGACTTAAGAACTTAAATATCAATTAATTAAAGCCCTAAAGCATTTTTTAGGCTCAACTCCATACCTCAAAAAAGAGCTGAATATATATATTAAAATCAGGGTTTGAAAAAACCCGGGGATTTTTGAAAAAACCCAACCCGCCTGGGTTTTATTGAAAAAACCCGGGGAAAATTGGGTTTTATTTGAAAAAACCCGGGGAAAATTGGGTTTTTTCATTTAGTGCTCATAAATTTTACTGTGAAAATATTTTTATTTATTAAATAGTATTGTATAAGTAAACACTAAAATTTCAATCTGACTTTTACCTGTAATAAAATTAAACTGGAATAAATATTTAATGGTCTTCAATGTTTTTATAATACGATTAATAGAAAGTGAAATTAAAATTATGTATAATTATAAAGAGTATCAGTTACTTGTCCCTTTTTTCAAATATTTAGATAAATATATGCATTTTAACTTTATAGTTTCAAAAAACAAATTAATCTTAAAATTATTAAAAAGCATATATAAAAAGTTATAGCT